CAGAAAGATTTTCATTAACATGGAACACATACACACAAAAACAACATGGAACACAGCAACTATCACATCTAGCATTAAAGAGAGTTAACCGAAAGTCAATGCACTCATCTTTTCTGTCATATGTTAATTAGAAACACATAACGTACCTTTCTATGTGTGGAGGTTGTTTCTCGGACTGAACTGCTTGGAGAAATTCAGTAAAATACTCTGGCTTTACAATGGGGCATCCACAAATGAGTGCACAAATCATGTAAAAGGAAGAAAGCACAGGTGAATATATATATAGTCATTATGATACCTTCTTCTAAAGAAAAACTCTGCTATAAACTACAAAGATGCCTTTCTAATAATTGCTTCCTTTCCTTTTCCCAAGTTCACAAATGAAGTCACAATCTGTAAAACAGAAGTTCATATTTGGTCAGTTTTATATCACAAAGCAGAACTATTCAATTATCAGAAGCCATGACACGGTAGTCCTTTTGGATAGGCAGAATAACAGAAAGACTTTAAAAATGCATTCCAACTTAAAAAAAAGTTAGAAGAAATCTAACCCATCCTGCAGAGGCAATACACATTAAGAAATAAATGGAAATTTCTTTGGAGCCTTACTGCTTTCAGAAGGAGTAAGAGTATAGAATAAAGCCTCTTCAACACAGTAAGTCAAGGAGCAACTGGTTAGGCTCAGTGGAAGCTGATGCACACATAAAGAGAGAACAAAACTGTGAACTAACGTGAATCAAGCTATCAGCCTCAAGTAACACACATCCACAAACTCAGAAAGGACTAGAAAATACTACTGTGGGCAATTAAAAGAAGAAAGAGCTGGCATATTCTAGGAAATAATCCAACTACACAGTTTATACATATGTTTTCAATAATGCAGGCGTTAGGAGCGACCAGATTGAGGGTATCTCTAAAGACTGGAATCTGACAGATCCCAACTTCCTATGTGAATGAGATCATCCAAATGCAACATAGAGTATTTAAGTTCAATCAACACAGGACTGAATAAAACTCCAACACATGCGATTCCAGGCAAAGCACGTAATTGCTCCAAGCTTCAATTTGCTCTTCAAAATATAAAAGCTGAACTAAACACTCCTCAGGTTTCCCTCTGGTTCTAACATTCAATAATCTAAACAAAACAAAACAAAACTAAGGGAAAACCTATAAGCCTAAATATACTTTGGGAAAGAGGACCAACAAATAATATAATGACCAGGGTTTATTTTGATTTTTTTTTTTTCAGTATGTGATCAGAAACACCAAAGAAGAAACGCTGCACACTCCATGGTGGTGTCTCTAATGGTGGTCATTAGCATGTCAGGTACTAGAAGTGTCCAGCTCTGAGGACTTGGCAAAATCTCCTAAGACAATCAAAGCATCTTTGACCTTATTTCAGGCCTTCTAAACCCATGTATCATTACCTATTCCATTTAAGTAACTTAATATCTTTAGGGGGATTATGCTGAGCTAACATTGAAACATCAGGTCCCCAGACATATGAATGCATACAAATGTTTTATGAATCTATTACCTGTGAGTTTATCAACATGAATATTTTTTAAATAAGTCATGTTGCAGAAGCTATAAAATCAATGTCCTAAATTTTCCAAGATGGAACTATCTTTGTTCAGGGGTACCTTTCCCATGGTACATGTTTAACTTCAGGTTCAATCTGGGCAACAAGCCTTTCTCTTTGACAGCTACTTCATACACATATATGTACACACATAAGAGCCATTTATGTATAAATTAGAATATAACACTAATATTTAATTAATTATAACAAAAGGCTTTTGCATCTTCAAACACAGGAACCAAAGTATTTGTTGCTTTTCAGCCTAAAACAATCCCACATATCTTTGGCACCACCAGCCTGTTTAATGAATCGCCTCTCGATGCCATTCTTCAATTACCTTTGGATATATCAAATTGGATGAAGATGCAAAATCTGAAAATATACCAAAATACATCACTGCTTTAATGACTAGTCAGCATCTTTGGAAGGTACATATCTATACATCTCAGGGCTTTAAAGATACAGCAAAGAAATCTTTGTGTGATTACAGCTTAACTGAGGGAGCATGAGACCATGAGACAATGTCAGAGACTGGAGGAAGACAATCTGACAGAAGAGACACATGGTGCTAACTCTGTGCTGTGGTGAGTTCACTCAAGGTCCCAGAACTTGTTTTCATATGGGAACACAGTTCAACTTACTTCCATGGTGACTTTCACTGACATCATGACAAGGTGAGTACATTCTTTTGTCCAGCTGTTCACAGTGAGTCCTCCAAGTTGCAACACAGCTTGATTTAGAGCAGTTTTCCCAGACACATCTAAACAAGAAGAACAGGCAACCAAAGGTTCATACTCTACCCTGTGAATGACAATAAAGTTATGTTATCACAGTTACAAAGACTTTACAACTTTACAATACTTTACAACTTTAAGCTTACAACATATTATTCGTTTAATTTTGACACATTATAAATTTTTTAAAAAATTACACTGCATGATTTCAACTGATTGACTGATCATCTTCAATTCGTACAGCACAGTTTCTCCTTCCAACGACGTACTCAGTGCCAGTCAAAACTCTGTACGGTTCTAAGAGGAATCAAATAATGAGACACAAACACACATACATAAATGTGTACATTATGTAGGATAAAATTCATGATATTCCAAGAAAACATTTAGTTTGTTATTTAAATGTGAATCAGTTTTACCTATATTAAACTCACATTTTCTATTAAGCCCTTACTGAGGAATAACAAAAGATCACCTAAATTAATGCAAGGGCATTCCATGTATCTTAAGGAGGAACAACAGTGAAAGGAATGAATATTTTCCCAAATTATAAATCTACTGAAATCCTAAGTAAAGTTTCAATATGAACTTGACTGGAACTTCCATTCACCAGTTCACTCCCTAAATGGTCACAACACTGGAGCTGTGCCGATCCAAAGGCAGCAGCCAGGATTTCCTCCATGTCTCCCACGTGAGTGCAGGGTCCCAAGGCTTTAGGCCATACTTGACTGATTTCCCAGGCCACAAGCAGGGAGCTGGATGGGAAGTGGAGCTGCTGGAATAAGGACTCGTGCCCATATGGGATCCCAGTGCTAACAGTAGAGGATTAGCTAGTTGAGGCATCACACCAGCCCCTATTCTATTTTTTTTTTACTCACTTATTTGGGGACTGGAATACACATTCTGACTCATTGCCCAAACATCCAGGGTATCTGAGCCCAGGACTCAAGCTAGGTCTGCCCACAGGTGGCAGTAACTCAACTCTGAGCTGTGGCCAAGGGTGCACTTTAGCCAACAGCTGGAGACAGGCTGAACAGGACTCCCAGGCTAGCCCTGCTACACAGTGCCAAATGTCTGCACTTAGCAGTGCTATCCCCGTAACAGATGGCTAAGTCTCAGCCTGTCACCTACACAGACCAGGTCCTGCAGGGCAAATGCCTTCTCACTGCACACTCAAACCAGGCCAACAGTGAGCTGCAACTAACCAATCCCGCCATTTCTGGAAGTCACCTCCTACCGTCTGATGGACTGTTGGGTACTGCTCTCTCAACCTCCACTGGCTCGGGCCACACCTTGATTCATGAAGCCTTTCCTCAGGTATGCTGTGTCCAACTCAACTTGTCTCAGGTCTGTCTTCTTTCCACACATCCATAGGAACCCTGAGAACCACGAGACAAATTGAAATCTTTATGGTCTGGCCTTGCACTGGTGCAAGTTCATAGGGATGCCTGTATTGGTGTTTACAAAAGTCCTTCAGAGGCCAGATCATATTAATTCTGTTTGCAGTGCTGGCATCGCATGTGGGCACTGGTTCAACTCCAAGCTGCTCCACTTCCCAACCAGCTCCCTGCTTCTGGCTGGGAAAGCAGTGGAGCATGACCCAAGTTTCCTGCACCCCTATATACACATGGGAGACAAGACGAAGCTTCTGGCTCCCAGCTTTGCACTGGTCCAGCTCTGGCCATGGAGGCCATCCCGAGAATGGAAGACTTCTCTGTCTTTCCTGCTTTCACTCAAGTGAAATTAAGAAATCTTCTTTTTTTTATTTTAATCCTCTTACATAGCCAGTCAAGACTGCCTCTCTAGAGACCCTTTTTTTCCCAATCACAATTGAACACCCTGAGCACACAGGTAATCACGGCTTTCCTGGCTTACCCTTTCTTTTATCAGCCAATAAGGACCACAAACAGCAGGCAGGCAACTAGCAACTTCCACTAAGGAAGTGCAGACACACAAGAAAGGGGCGAAGTGAAGTGGCCTGGCTTTTGCTGCAGCTCCCCTGGGACACCAGCATCCCAGGTTTGTGCAGGGGGTCCAGCCCAGCACCGCCAAGGCGCACTCTGACAGACAGCAACTGAGGCCCTTGCATCCTGGGGTTCCTGGCTTGGGCCTGACCAGCCCCAGTGTTGGACACATCTAGGCCAGTGAACTCGGAGATGCAAGATTCTGGTCTTTTCAAAAAAAGTCTTGGCTGTCCCCTCTTGCTGACAGCACGGAAACGCGTCTGAAACAACAGACAGCTGCTCCGTGCACCGGTTTCTCCTCAGCCACCTCAGCCAGGGCTCAGGGAAGGGCCAGCCGCCCCACCGCCCATGCCCACTGCACAGCGCCGGGGTCCCACGGCCACTGCACAGCGCGGGACAGGGCCGGGCGTCCACCCGCCCAACCCCGGGGCCGAGGACAGCCGGCCTTCCCCGCCACGGCGCAGCCGGGACCACCACGCGCGTGCCCGACCCACGGTTTCCTTCCCGTTCCGCCGTGCGCCGGAAGGTAAGGGGAACGGACCGGAAGCGACCCTCCCCGACTTCCTTCCCCGCGTTGGCGATCCTCCGAACCCGGGCCCTCTGTCCCTTCCCTGTCCTTACCTCGGGCTGGGCCCGCGGCCGGGAGGAGCTTCCACATGGGCCCTGCTGCCGGCCGACGCGACCGGCGCCAGCCCGCCTGCCAGCCGCCCGAGCTGCGGGGCGAGCGCTCCCGGGCCGCGCGAGCCTCTGTGCTGCCGGCGGGATGCAGCGGGCGTGCGGCCAGGGCGCGGGGCCGCCACCTGCTGGGGAGCCAGGAACAGCGCTGTCTACAAGTTCACCAGGTACTTGTTGGCAAGAATTGCAGAGAGAGTCCACTAAGAAAAAGCTCTGAGAAAAACTTTGCAATGTTATTTGCTATACGTTTAATAAAATTAATGCAAAATCAATCAAGGAAAAGAAAAGATGTGTTTTGGCCAAGTATTTTTGGAGACCATTGGAATGTGATTCCAGTTGACTGCTGTCCAGTTTTGGTTTATGTCAACTCTTAAGAGTTAAGTCCAGCAGGAAATTGTCTCCTACTAGACAAAAATAATTGTGGTAAATAACTGACAAATTTGAAAAAAGGAAAAGAAACTGGATGCCTATATTGTTGTAGTGCCACTTTGGTAGAGTCTAACTTATGTGACTTGCCTGTCAGAAGCCTGTTCAGAAGGCATTTTTTGGTATTGCCTTTTGTGCATTTTATTATGAAAATGCTGCAGTCATATTTAGTGAAAAAAGATCTGAATTATTGCTTATAATAGAAATAAAAGCAAGCATTGGTTGCTTAAACTGGTTTCTCATGTCCAACCAGAGAAAGAGAACTTCAGTTAAGGTAAGATAAGTAAATGCACACACATGCACCATATATACTTTTTTGAGGGGAAGGGGTAGCTAAAAGGAAATCAATTGTATGTAATACTTTAATAAATTCCTAAAATATTTGACAACTGACATTTTCATTTTGGAAATTCAACTAAATCTAAAAGCATTGTAAAGTTACTATGGTTATAAAGGAATAAGAAATTGAAATGATCTCTGTTTTTTTTTATAACATGTAGAGCTGCTATTTTACTACTTGGGGAATGGGAAGTGAAAATTGGACCCTGGAGGGTTTCTACATGCTTTCATCACTTCTCTTTTAGAGAATATTAAAACATCCAGTGTTAACTGGAGTAAAACAATTACTAAGTACCATCAGCAAGGAAAGTCTTGAGTTTGTTAGCATTGTGACCTCCGGGAAGGAGAGATGTTGAGGGTGTTGAGAACAGTGCTTTTCCATGTGTCTGGTCTCTGACCCAAGTTATACGCACAAACAGAAGCTATGAGCTTTCAGGGCACACACTGCTTTAAATGTATAATGCAACTTGCTGCCAGAACCAGATGTGTTGAGGAAAGAAAACAAAACCACCTCCTTTCTGTAGCCATTAAACTCAAGTTTACTGTTCTAACAAGTTTGTATTTTATTTTGCATAGCCACACATCTGCTTATTTAAAAAAATACTTACACTTTGGTAGTAATGGTTCAGTACAAGCGAGTAATACAGCTTAATGTCTCTGTGTCCTAATTCTAAGTGTTCTTTTATTCCAGGTCTTATAGAGCAGATAAGACATCTATAAGTTCATTTTTTGAAATATATTGTAAAATAATAAAAAAGTAACATAATTTTAAAATAAAATTGCAGAGAGAGCTGCTGCCCTGTGGTTCCCGAAAGGCTCAAAGACCAGGGCTGGACCAGGCCCAAGTCAGGAACTTCATCAGGGTCTGCCTTGAGGGTGGTAGGGCCCAAGCACTGGGGCCGTCTTCCAGCTGCTTTGGAAAGATTTTTTTGTTTAATCAACAACATGAGGACGTTGTTGATTGATGCATTAAGATACCCCATGCATTTGGATTTCCTTAGTTGCAATGATTCATTTGTGTGGATCCCTAAGGAGAGTGTTAGCAGTGAGGATGATGGTTTCATGCCAACGTAACTCCTTGAGATTTTCTTTTTCAAATTCAAGTCAACTTACCCTAACTTCTCTATTTCATATTACGCTCTCATCTAATCATACATGAAGTATGGGTAGTCTGCCACTATGTCAACTTTTTCCTGTTTCAGGTTGGTTTAAGGTCTCCTAATGTATCATCATCTAACTGCAACTCTCATCTTTTCTTCAAGCCAGGACACCTCCGACTACTTGAGAACACACGTGTGATGGTGTAATTTCTGCTTTTCTGAAAGAACTCGGAGGAGACTTGATAGAGGAGCTTGGAGAACATCTCCGTCAGGACACAGTCCCTGCAGGTAAGCACAAGAACCAAGGCAGGGAGCAGCCCAGCCCAGGCCCAATTACAATACCCACCAGTATACCTGTGGTTCAGATATGGGGGCAGGCCAGGCTGGACCCGTTCTTGGCACCCACTGGCAGAGCTGAGAACCAGGGCAGGGTGCAGGACAGGCCTAGTCAGGCTGTAACAGCAGCCAGTTCACATTTAGGGTTGTGACTGAGGGCTGGCTAGGCTAGGCGAGGCTGCAGTACCCACCAGCATGAGCTGGAATTAGGCACACAACATGCCAGGCCAGGCTGCAGCATCAGCTGACGAATGCCAAGATTAGGCAGATCATGCCAGACCAGGCTGCAGCACCCGCCAGTGCATGTGAGACCAGGGAGAGGTGGGTTAGCGTGATAGGGTGGCAGCAGGGGTTCCTACTGGTGGGAGTGAGAACTGGGACTGAGGGCAGACCAGGCCAGACCAATACCCATAGGGCTGCATGTGAGCTGGGAAAGGCAGCAAGGCCGGGTGACTATAAACACTGTGCATGCATGAGCCAGAAGAAGTGCAGGCTGCCCGGGCTTTGCCACAGTGTCAGGGCTGGCAAATGCTGGGACTAGGGGCAACTCCTGTCAAGCTAGACTGCAGAACCACCAGGAGAGTGCAGGATCTCCCAGTAGGGAAACTGTGGGCTCCTCTCTAATGAGCTGTGACTCCCACAGGTAAGCATGAGAAGCAGGGCTGCAGGTGGGACTGTCTGGCCAAGCAGTGGCATCTACTGGGATGAGTGTGGGCTGATAACAGTGTTTGTTGGGTTGAACTAGGCTAAAAGGCCCATTGATGTATACAAGAGCTAAATGGGATGTGTGTCAGACAGGACCAGTCTGCTGCACATACTGAGAAGTACATTGATGGTGATTTTGGGGGGTCACTCTGACTAGGCTACAGTTCCTGCTGGTATGTTTGAGGATCAAATGTGTAGTGGGCTGGGTTGGGCTGGATGAAGCATCCATTCTTTAGTGTAAGGGATGGGCTTGACACAGAACTGACCCAGCACAGCCTGATGTGTTGTCAGACTAAGCCAGACCCTGTACTGGCAAGCACACACAGAGTCAGGTCTGGGTTCAGCAGAGATGAAGTCTCTGTGGGATTCACCCAACTGAACCACTGCACTCCGAATTCCAACCGTGTGTTGAATCCTAGGACCAGTGGACTGACTGTGGAGTGCAAGTATCAGAAGTGGGCCTCCACAATAGCTAAGGCAGAGCAGTGGATGGCATACCCAGGTGCATATGGAGGATATGCCAGTCCACTGGGAAGTGCAGTGGACATCTGCTACCACAGCAGAGGAAGGAGGGTAAAGCAAACTGTACAACTAGCCCAGCCAAGTGTTGACAGCATATATCTGGGCAAATGGAAACTCTAACGTGGACTGTGTCAGCCAATGGTCCTTGGATGGATTGTCTCATCCTTGAAGCAACAAAACTGACAGCATTTCAAAACTATTGAAACCACTTGAGCACAACCTTCAGAGCATGCTTCCCATTGGGAGCCTGGTATGATATTGGGTGGCCATTCCCCACCCCAGGTACTGAGGCAGTTGGAAGGCTGAGTGCAGCTTCTCTTCTCATCTCCTCCCTTGCTCCCAGATACAGGAGGAAGAAAAGGAAACTTGGAAACAATGATCTCACCCACTTTCCCCTAACCCTCAATCCTTCCCACCCCCAATCAACTCTGTAAACATCACCATATAAAAAAAAATGTGATTTAGGGAGCTAGCACTTAACATAGTGGCTAACATAGTGACCTCCTTCCAACATCAGAGTGCTTGCTTGCTGGCTTCATCTCTTGAGTCAGAATTGCTGCCAGTGCAGACGCTGGGACAGAGGGATGCTACTTAGGTTTTTCTTTCCTTCCATTCTTTCTTCGTTTCTCTCTCCTTCTTTCTTTCTTTCTTTCTTTGGCATTGTTTTCATTTTGTTGTTGGATATCTTCAGGTTTTTCTTTAGTGTTTTTTAAATTTTCATTGCTAATCTCTTTTAATCCTTACATTTGTGCCAGGGTGTATATGTATGTATTTTTTGTATGTATTTTTGAAAGAAATTATTTTACTTGGAAAGGCAGAGTTACATAGAGTTTCCATTCCAAATGGCTGCAGTGGCCAGAGCTGGGCCATTGTGAAGCTGGGAGCTAGGAACTCCTTCCTCGTCTCCCACATGGGTGCAGGTTCCCAAGGACTTGGGCCATTCTCCACTGCTTTCTCAGTCACTGGGTTGGGAAGTGAAGCAGCCAGGACATGAGCCAGTGCCCATATGGGATGCCAGTGCTGCAGCAGAGGATCAGCCTGCTTCACTGCTCCCGCCCCTGTGTGTATTTCTGTAGCTACTGTGACTGGGATTGTTCTCATCAAGTTCTTTCTCAGCCAAGAAAGAGCCTGTTGGCCTATCAAAATACTACTGGAGTAATTCAAAACAGTTTGACAAGAACTGGTATTAGCTGTTTCTTGGAGGTTTGGGAGAAGTCATTAGTGAAGGCATTTGGTCCTGAGCTATTGCATTACCAGTTATTTGTTCTAGTGTTCTATGTCTTTGTGACTCAACTTTGGTAAATTACATGTTCCTGTAGATTTATCAGTTTCTTTCAAATTTCCTGATTTGTGGGTATATGTTCTTAATAGTTCTGACTGATTCTATTTCTGTAGCAACCATTGTTTTCTCTTTTGTGTCTCATTCAAGTGACTTTTTAAAAAAAGATTAATTGTATGTATTTGAAATGAAGAGTGACAGAGAGAGTGGCCAAGATGAAGAGATCTTCCATCCCATCTACTTGTTAACTCTCCCAGTGGCTGTAAAAGCTGAGCCTGGCCAGACCTAAGACAGGAGCCAGTCTTTTTTAATGTCTTGAGATTTGTTTATTTTTCTACTGTATGATCAGTCCTGTTGTTCTATGTGCTGATGAAAAGGATGTGCATTCTACAAGTGTGAGGTGGGATAGTGTACAAGGATGTTGGGTCCAAATGGTCTATGTGTGTATTGTGTTTGTTATTTGTTCGTTGACTTTTTTGTCTTGTTGAATTGTTCATAGATGAAAGTGGAGTTTGAATTAGCCCATTATTATTACTGCTTAAGTCTCCTTTAGGATCTACTAAACTTGTGTTTATACAATGGTGCTCTTGCATTAGCTGTGTATGTATTTTCAATGGTCATATTGTCTGTTAAACTGATCTCTTTACCATTATGTAGGATCATGGTCTCTTTTAACAATTTTTGTCTTAAAGTTTATTTTATCTACTATAAGCCTGGTGAATCCCTGCTCACTTTCAATTTCCATTAACATGGAGTATCTTTTTTTTTTTTTTTAGGATGTATTTACTTTTGGGCAAGTCATGGTTTCAAAACAGCTAAATTCCTCACCTTTAACACGTATGGATCGCACATGGGCACCAGTTCTAATCCTGGCTGCTGCACTTCCCAACCAGCTCCCTTCTTGTGGCCTGGGAAAGCAGTTGAGGATGGCTCAACGCCTCTGGAACCTACACCCCCATCGGAGACCTGGAGGAAATTTCTGGCTCCTGGCTTCGAGTTGGCACAGCTACAGCCATTGTGATCACTTGGGCAGTGAATCATCGGACAGAAGATCTTCCTCTCTGCTTCTTCTCCTCTCTCTATATATGACTTTGCAATACAAATGAAGAAATCAAAACAAAAAAGATTTTTGCTTTTTATTGGAAAGTCAGATTTACAAAGAGAAGGAGAGACAAAGATCTTCCATCTGTTGGTTCACTCCCCAAGTGGCGACAGTTGGCCATCCTCAACTACAAGCCGCTTAATAGGAAGTGGAACACCCAGGATATGAACCAGCACCCATGTGGGATCCAGGTGCATGCAAAGTAAGGACTTTAGCTACTAGGCTACCATGCTGGGCTTATTAACTTTTCGCATTCTTTCACTTGCACTCTATTTTAACTGATGAAGTTTGTTTCTTGTAGGCAGCCTTTGCATATTACTGGGTCCTTTTATTATTTTTTAAAATTCATTCATCTAATCTGTGTTTCTCAGAATTGAGTCCATTTGCATCCAGTGTACAATTACTTGGTAATGAGTTGGTCCTGGTTTTTTTTTCTTAATTTCTTGTTTTTTCAAATGTTTGTTGTTTTCCTGTAGAAGTCACATTTTCACAATGAAAGTAGCCTGTTTGCTTTATTTTTTTTTTAAAGATTCATTTATTGGAAAGTCAGATATACAGAGAGGAGGAGAGACAGAGAGGAAGATCTTCTGTCTGATAATTCACTCCCCAAGTGAGCACAACGGCCAGTGCTATGCTGATCCAAAGCCAGGATCCAGGAACTTCTTCCGGGTATCCCACGTGGGTGCAGAGTCCCAAGTCTTGTGCTGTCCTCAATTGCTTTCCCAGGCCACAAGCAGGGAGCTGGTTGGAAAGTGGAGCTGCCAGGATTAGAACTGGCGCCCATATGGGATCCCAGCGTGTACAAGGTGAGGTCTTTAGCCACTAGGCCACACTGCTGGGCCCGTCTGTTTGCTTTTGTATACAATATTTCCTTAATTATCCTTTGTAATTCTGATTGGATAGTGATAAAAAAATCTTTATATTGTGTTTGTTTTATAAAGTATTTCACTTCATTCATGAAACAAAACTTCACTGGAAACGTATTTTTGGTTGATAGGTTTTAATTTTTTTAATTTCAAAACAGATTTTCTCTCCATTCTTTTCTGGTCTTTTAAGTTTTCTGTTGAGAACTCTGCTGTCAGTTTAATGAGTTCATTTAAAAATCACACAGTTTATAATTCCATGTGCTGTGCGTTTGAAAGTTTCACTATATCATAATAAGGGTTTTTTTTCTGTTCATGTTCCTTCGAGATTCTCTCAGCTTCATATATGTGGGTTTCCATATATTCCAAATTGAAGCTTTCCTCTGTTGTGTCATTGAATGGGTTCTTTCATTTTTAAAGATTTTATTTGTTGGTTTGAAAGGAAGAGACAGAGAGAGCTTCCACAAACTGGTTTGCTCCC